TATATATATATATATATATATATATATATATATATATATATATAATTATCAGTTCATTATTATTTTGTAATTTTTTGTTATAATATAAATAATTTTTAATAATAAAAAAATAATTAAAAAAAAAACAAAAATGAGCTTAGGCTTCAACTCGAACTCGTCAAAATCGGCTCGAGCTCGAGCAAAGAAAAAATACTCGATGAACTCAAGTTCGAGACTGCCAAACAGTTGAGCTCGGCACGTTGACACTCCCAGCGGACAGGCTGTGGATCAAAAAATGTTTCTGAAATTTGAAAGACGCACTAAATACTACCTAATATTTTGAGAATCGCTCTGAAGTTTAATTCCTCCATTCGCATTACCCAAAATACACACACACACACACACACACACATATATATATATATATATATATATATATATATATATATATATATATATATATATATATATATTTGTTATGTTTTGCACTTTAATACAATTTTAAGAGTAATAATTTGAGAGTTAGTAACAACCATTCGCATCCCCAACTTTATCATTTATCTTTTGATACAAAATTTGAATTATGGAAAAACAAAAAAAGAGAGAGAGAGAGAGAGCGCATAAATTTGATCCAAAGGGAATAAAATGTAACCTTTTTGACAGCATAAAAAGCATAATATCATATCTTGCCAGAATATTTCCTATTGTTTTTAGAGTAGGGTGTGTAAAATGTTATCTTTCATACTTTGACATAAATGAAATCAGGACAATTGAGGGGGAATCTTTTGCATGTCAAAAGTTAGCTGCACTCAAGTAATTTTTATTCAAATTACCAGCACATATAAAATACACAAAGATACATAAAAAGAAAGAAAAAAAGCATTATATCCATCAACACCTTTTTCAATATGAACTGTAAATTTAGAAATTACTATTACTACAGGCATTACAAGACGTTCGAATAAAAACGAGCACAATATTTTAAATAAGGGTAGACGAGTCTATCTTGAAAAATAATCAAAAACAAGAAATGGCTAAAATCGGAGTATAAAAAGTTCACCGTGTAATGATGACCAGTAAAGGGTAACAGTGATCTGGATCGTAGTTGGGCCACGAGTGATCACCACCGTTGATTAAATTTTCATGCCGCCTCCAAATTTCTGTATCGTAGGCCTCAGTTACGGTGAATTGCAGCCCACTCTCCTTAACTTCCAGAAGAAACTTATCCAACGAATCGCCTCTTTTGGGGCCAAAAAGTATTGCTTCAGAGGGACCACTTTCTTTCAGCAAGCATCTGATTGTTCGAGCCAGGCTTTTGTGGAATTCCTTAAAGAAAGTGCTGCAAAAAAGATGACCTTATATTACATAATCCGAGTTCTTGAAAACATTATGCATAATAAATGTTTTTAATGGTTAGTTTGTATAAAGCAATTAATTACCAGTCACTTGCAATAATGACGTCAAATGTGCCGGAAATATCGGAGACTTGATGCTGACCCCAATGAAGTGTCATTGACTTCACCTTTGTACTGCCAAATGAAGCAGAGTTCGCATCTATGTTACGCTGTATATCTGCTTGTTAAGAAATTGGAACCAAACGTGAAAATAAATTCACTCGTGAAGCATTTCGACACGTGGTAAGCATACATATGCAATTAATTAATAACTTCAAAGTTCCAATTAAAAATTATTTAAAAAAAAAAAAAAAAAAAAACACACACACTACTATAGGAATGGGCAATATCGTAATTTCAAAGTTCTAAAGCTGATAAAATCGAGTGAAAAGGATACAATCAACGACTTGAGGGTTTCCATCTGATATCACAACTTCTGATGCTTCTGTGGCCATAGCAATAACTAAGCCAGCTAACCCGTACCCCGATCCAAGTTCAATTGCTCTTTTGTTCCTAGAAATAATCGAAAACGTATGATAAATTAGATTCAACAGAAATGAAATTTGGTATTGCAAATGAATATGAAGTTATCGTAAACCTGAAGCTACCAATATGCGACATGGAATAATACGCAAGTACATCCTCTGAAGGCCACTGACCTGTTCGAAAGAAAACGAGAAACTTATAAGTGAAAAAGGATGTAAACATCTTGTAAAAATTACAGTTAGTACACTAATTAAAGAAATTAATATATCTAAATTTCTCTACGAATTGTGACTTCCATTATTTGACTTTGCAATAAAATATTCCAGTTCTGTAGTTCCAAGTTATTTTGTCCCTCTAAATGAAATAAGCAAAATATCAATAACAATAACGAGATATAGTAGAAAATAATCTTAGGGTGCATAAATACATAGGTTGATTTTTGGACAAGACATACTACGAAAGATCGATATTTATCTAACTTATTTATATGATCTGTAGATATTTATAAGGCTTCAATAGGCAAAGACGCTCAATAAAGGCATATCACACACGACCTAGTTGACATAGAGTTCTCGTCTTATGTTTAATAAGTAGAACATATACATATGTCTTAGGACATGTTTCTGATTATTCATATGTTTAGACTGCCAATTACGAGAGAGCAATTTGGTCCATTACTGACAAAAGTTCTATCTAAAAGTACTTTATATTGTCACTTCTTTGGTGATCAATGTTGATTGCACAACTAACAATTCAACCATCTTATCTGAGATATGCCATCAAAGCTTTTCCATGTATTTGACCATTAAGGAAAATCAACGGACTACAGTAAGCCCCGAAGTTCACGAGTTCGTCTCGATAATTTCCAAGCCATTATTAATGACATTAATTGATGTCCGTATAATGGCCAGGACACAGATATGCACTACTTTACTTCTTCACTAGGCAAACGCGAGTATAATGATTAGCCACTTTACTTATATAACTAAGTTCTCATTTTACAGATCTTGATTAGATCACAAAAGTTCTTATTGTACACATTTTGGCGATTGATTTTTTGTGGATATATTTCATTAATTAAAAAATATGGCATCAATCATGAAAAAAGAACATTCAAGTTAGACCAACATTGACTTGAAGGTCAAATTTAATTTCAAACCAAGCCCATGTGAAAAAATACTACTTCAGACCAAGTGTAACCATACCTAGTGTCCAAAGGAGAACATGTATTGGCCTATACTAAGACCAGTGATAAGGTAAATCACTGAACTCATAACCGAATGATTTATGATTGTAACTTGTAATGATAAAAAAATGTCAGTATTATCCCAGTTCCAAAACGAGGATATCTTATTCCACAACTAACTTACTAGTTGTATCAGTTCACACACAACTTTGATCCAAACGAGGATATCTTAGTAGTCCTTATGATCTAGGAAAATCTAAATTTGATGTTCACTATTGAATCATCAGCGGAATCACAGCAGATTCTAATCCATCATGGCCTCTTACGAATTAAAATGTAGAAAGTAAATAGTAAAAACAAAAAAATAACTAAGCAACATGGAACCACATATTTATTTCTCAAAGAGATTTTCAAGAATTCATAGCAACTTAGTATGTTAGCAGGAAAAGTTTCAGCAACAAACTGGAGAATGATTTATGCCTTTTACGATTCCCTTTAACTATAAAACCCGTACAGGGAAATAGGCCAAGTAGTGACCGATATTATCCCTTTTATTTCCCAGTTAAAAGATTCAATCAACTTTATATGAAAATTGGTCACATCCAACACGACTTATTGATAAGATCAAGTCCTAACTTCTCGTCTAAACAATACAAGTCCATGTTTTTCTTTCAAGAATCGACATTGTACTTGCTTTACTTGAGATTCAGTCAGCAGATGACACACCTAATAAGAGTGTTATGCGAAGAGGGAGTCTTAATTTTTTTTTCTATTTTTTTTTTATCAAACTAATATTCTCTTCACATTTTAATAAATTAAATTGCTACAACATCCTCCGGAAGTGAATATAGATACAGGCTTAAACGTATATGCAAACTGTTAAACTGTTTGGAAGCAACTCGCCACAACAACTTACAAACAGTTTTCAACTTCACCTAAGCATGGAAACTGATTAAACTACATACATATAAACCTTTATCCAAACTCCAATCATATTTCTTATCCTCCAGTACTCAGAGAAACAAAAAAAATCTTGGGTTTCTCGTAATTCAAGAGGTGTCGAAAACTCAAACCAAACAGAAGAAAAACATGATAGAAGTAGTTAATTGATAAGGGGATAGATGGTTTTATGAAACACGGCAGCAGATTCATCGAGAAGTGAGATAGTTTCTACTTACATACAAGTCCCGTGTTGTCAATATCAAATCGATTACAGACTTCGAAGTCATTCAGATCAACGCAATCTTCCCATCTCTGGCTGCATGAGCTCCACATATAAGCCACTAGTTACACTCCCAACAAAAAAATTAACAATACAAATAAGAAGCAAAAAATCTATAACCTAATGCAGTTTTTTCTTCAGAAGAACTAACCCGCCAATTTTTTCGCACCGAATCCGATTATTATAACATAGAAATGAGAAAGTAAATACATCAATTCCGAGCAACATGAATCAGTTTAGACAAAGAACTGTACAGAATTGTAGCCTAAACTCACCGTAGGAAAAGCTTGGGAGCATTAGGAAACGGCAACGTGTAGCAGAAAAGAGCATCTCTCTTCCGTGGGGAAGGATCTGAATCTTCGCCACTTTCGTTCACTGTATGGCACGGTATTAAATTGAATCCATTTCTCGCTCTTCGCGATACTTTATCTAAATTGATTTCTTCTGACGAGTTTTCTGCAAACCCTTTGCTTGTTAGAGAGAGAGAGAGAGAGAGAGAGAGCGAAAAAAGAAGAGCTTTTTTATAATGATTAAATTTGAAAATTCGAATACATGCTTACCGGAATTAGATGAAGGAGGGCGTTGAATGGCGCGCCGGAGGATTTGCCATCGCAAAGACGAAGGATTTGGGATGGTGTGTGACTGATCAGCCTCCATTTCTGCCGTTCCCGTTTGGTTGCCGCCTCCGGCGACGTCGTTTGGTATTGTGCTGTGAACTTGAAGTATAGTAGAAGGGCTTACTGGGGAAATTAGGGCTTAATCCCACTTTGCACCCTGAAATATACAATTTTGGCACTTCGTACTCTCGAAACAAATTAATAGCAATTTGCACCCTCGAAACACAACATATCATGTATAAAGCACCCTAAATAAGTTTTTCTAAAGCTACATAAAGGTAATTTGACATTTTTAGTAGTATTTAAAAGTTATATTTTTTTTCACAAAAAAATATTTTACGAAAAAATAAAAATCTTAAAGTTATTTCATTATCAAGTTATCTGAAAATCAAATTTTCTTCCAAATACTTCTACATAATATTTCCAGTAATTACAATAAAAGATCAATCAATCGAATAACTTAATGATAAAAGTTTATTTAATTTTTATTTTGTAAGAAAATATAATTGTTTTTTAAATAATCCGGTGTGATTTTTATTTTCTCTCACTTTTTGCGCTCGAAATTAAGTATTAATTTGTCATTTTGCACAAAAAAAAAAAAAAAAAAAAAACCAATAAAAAATGAACTAACCATTATTATTCAATTGAGCGTGCATTGTGATGATTTATTGATTTGGGGGTGAAAAATGCTATTATTATAATTTTTTAAGGGTGTAAAGTGCCGAAATAGTATATTTCAAGGGTACAAAGTAAGATTAAGCCGGGATATTAGTAGATCTTAAATAACTTTCCGAAACGGTGTCGTTTTTCTCTAAATTCCGAGGACTAAATTAGAACGCGTCTGTTTTTTCCCCTCTTCTCTCTTCACTCACCTAAATCCCTAATCAAGAACCCTAGTTTATCGTAATTTCTCGTCTCCATTCTCAAATTTGTGAAATTAAAAGCCCTACATTCGGGAGTTTTCGTTCCTGAAACGTATTACAATCTTCCAATTTACATAGGCGGCGGCGTATTTGCTAGTTCTCCAAAATGCCGGCCACCGCGGGGAGGGTTCGCATGCCAGCGAACAACCGCGTGCACAGCAGCGCCGCCCTACAGACCCACGGCATATGGCAGAGCGCCATTGGGTACGATCCATACGCTCCGAACAAAGAAGACAAAAAGGAAAGCAGATCTTCTCAGAAGACCTCCGTCCCTGAGTCCGATCCGGACGCCGGCGAAAATGCATACGCCAGTTTCCAGGGCTTACTCGCTCTCGCGCGCGTCACTGGATCCAACGCCGACGAGGCGCGTGGCTGTTGCACGAAGTGCGGGCGAGTCGGCCACTTGACGTTTCAGTGCAGGAATTTTTTGAGCGCTGCCAAGGAAGAGGAAGGGAAGGACTTGGGGGCAATCCAAGCTGGGGTTTTTTCTGGTTTGGGGAAATTGAAAGGGGAGAGAGTGAAAGCCAAAGGGAAGGGTTTGGTGGAGGGCGATGAGAGTAGTGAGGATGAAGAGGAGAGTGAAAGCTCTGATTCCGATTATGATTCGGAGATAGAGAGGGCGATAAAGAAAAAATACGGAAAAAGGGTTAGTGGTAAGTCTACCAAGGGGAATGTTGTTGATGACGATGATGACGAGTCTTCGGACGAGGGGAATCGTAGGGAGATGAGAAAGAGGGAGAAATTGAGGTCGAAGAAGAAGAGTGTGAAGAGAGAGAAAAGTGAGTCTGAGGAAGAAGGAAGAAGAAAGAGGAGGAGAGAGAAAGGGAGGAGAAGGAGGGATGACGATGGTGATTCGTCGGATGGAGAAGAAAGCAGACGAAGGAAGAGTAGGAAGGAGAAGAGGAGGAGGAGGAGTCACCGTCATTCAGATGATGATTCATCGGATGATTCTGCAGATAGGCGGCATAAGCGAAGTAGCAGGAGGCGGCGGCGGCGGCAACACTCGGCGTCTGGTTCTGATGCTAGTGGCTCAGATGATCCACCAAGAGTGGGGCGGGACAAGAAACGCGCTGAGAGGAACAGCAGCCGTAAACATCGACGGAGAGATGACTAAGCTTGGCTTATTTGGTGGTAGGTGCAAAACCCTTCTTTTCACAGTGTCGTATGCGAAATCTTGAATGTGGAATCAAATTATGTTAATGAAGTCTGCGTTGTGTTCGCTATTTTTTTTCTGTTTCGCGTATCTTGTTGGTTTTGATTGATTTTCTTTTTTTCTTCTGGTTGTAAGAACTCTGATCTGTTGTTAAATACTATATCTACATGACTATAAGTTGGTGATTAATCCTATTTATTTAAGTATCGAAATAAATAGTTGATTAGATTTTGTCAAATCCCATATTTGAACTTCCTCTTATTATAGTTTCAGATATGTTTTACTTCCTGCTTCTTTGCTATTTCATCATTTGAGTTGTCTTGTGGAATGTTTGATATGATGATTGCTTACTTGATTGCAAATAACTCTTCAACTTCTTCACCTCTGTGTATCCTTAATACTGCAGCATTCATATCTTCTAACGTTAGAAATAAGTATTTTTTAAGTTCGTTGTATTTGTAATTAGAAGATAATCATCTCGTTGAGCTTCATTTTCCAATCTTATAATAAACATGCTGATGTTTGTAGCTCTCTTTGTCAATTTTATATATCTCGACGCAATTTTTTACTCAAGCAGCATGTGATTAACATGTTTCCCACCCTTCACAACATTATTTATGAACACAATTCTTGTGGTCTTAATATTAACGAAGAGAGTTGAAATTTCTCATGTGCACAACACACATTTATTTGTACCGAGCATGCATTCTTCCAAAAACATACATCTCAAAGTCACGAGTCCTAAAAAAAGTTTCGAGGGATCCAGTTCATGAAATTTAGCTAGTAGCTTGTTTCCCAAAATAAATCAATTTTTCGTGGTATAGATTTTTTTTAATTCGAGTTGTGAATATAGCTAGTTACTTCGTCGTTCCACTGACACAGATCCAGTGTACTACATCAAATTTCAACTCCCATTACCTTAAACCGTCGTTGCTGCCTGCCAGATGTGAATGTAGAATCAATATCAATATGGGAAATATTTGTACTCGTTTTTTCTCTTAATTAATAAGATGGGATTTGATTCAAGTTAAGTGAAGAAACAATAAAAACAAAAGAGTAAGTATATTTTCCCCAAGTTTTGCTACTGTTGGGAGGTTGGCTTGATTTTCCTTAGTAGACGAAATGAAAGTATAACCAGGTTATTTTCTTGTTGGTGTCATTCTTCTTAACTTGGGTTTTGATATCTTGTTCGTATCATTCTCTTGTGAGAATAGCTGGCGTGTAAAAAGAAAATGTTATTAAAAAAAAAACCGGGTAAATTTGCGGTTGCACTGGAAAATGCAAAAACTGCTTAAACCCGGGTTTCTGAAAGTAAAAGAAGGGATCTGATTTTTGAAGATGGTGGTCGGGAAAAAGAGGGAAAAAATATCGGGTCTGGGGGATTGAGAATGAATCTTGTATGCCGATGGATGAAAAGAAGAATAAAATAAGAAGAATAGGAAGAAGATGAAGAGAGTAAATACTTGGGATGGAAAGGAAGGAAAGGAAAAGAAAAGAAATTGAAATGCAAAAAGAATGGTGTTTTACATTTATATTGTTGGATAATTAGGTGAGATTTAAGGTTGATTTTTATTAATGAATAGGCTTTTGAATTGTAGTTTTACAATACAGTTATTTTAAAATTATTAATAAACAAAAACAGAATAAAAAATATAAAAATCCGATTGAACCCGATCGAATTGATCCATTCGTGACTCGTTTGAAAGAGGCGTGTTATTTCCACTCTCCTAGTCCCTCATATAACCACCAAATTAAATAATTTACTATATTTTGCTTAAAATTGAACTTACCATCCCAAAAGTCCTATTTTGCCTTTATATTGTTTTTAGGGCAAATTACGGCCACTCATGAGTTATAGTTAAATTATGAAAACCTCTTTCATATTTGGGTAATTACAGTCAGCCCTCAATTATGCATTTTACGAAAATACCCCTCCATAGGTAAATTTAGGGATGTTAAATCGGTAAAATTGATCTGAAATTTCGGTACACCAACATTTCATACAGTTTACCAAATTAGATATACGATTTGGTTCGGTAAATAACCGAATTGCATAAATTTTAAATAAAAATATTTAAAAGGAGGGGGTGGCTGTAATTACCCAAACAAAAGAGAGGGTTTTGTAATTTGGCCATACCTCAGGGGTGGCCATAATTTGCCCTTATTTTTATTAAAGGGGTTGGAGCTCCCTAAAAAATATTCTCTATAACTATAAGGACATGTGCATTTTGCAGTTTGCTAAAAGTCCATGTGCGTTCCCCTCTAACGGAATCGGTTAGGAAAACTAACTGTAATGGTGATGGGGTGATTTGCACAACTTAGTTGCACAACTTAGTTATGTTAATAAACAACAATTTAGTTAAAATACAGTGAAGATAGAACTAAAACAAGAATAGATGTTTTCCACAACATATATACAACTTACACAAACAACTTAGTTACGCAACTTAGACAACTTAGTTACACAACTTATACAACTTATTTGAATAACTTAGTTACACAACTTAGTTAAATAAGCCGAAGAAAAAAAATCTCTAGTGCGTACATACCACCAACATTACCATCATCATCACCATCACCATCACCATCACCATCACCATCACCATCACCAAACAATTCTTAATTTTTTTTTTGTTTTGATTTCCATACTTATTAGGTTACAATGGAGATGAATGAGTGTAACCAAAGTTGTATGTGTGTGCGTGTGTGTGGTTGCGTGTGTGGGTATGTAGGAGTGTGATTACGTGTGTGCCTGTGTGTGGCTGGACTTTTCAACGATGACATCGACGGGGAGTAGGAATGGGGCAGATTTAATGAAATACAACGGGGTCGGGATCGAACGAATGTGGAGAGTCTGAAGAACACATAATTTTTAGCAAATTGCAAAAGTTTGTATGTCCTAATTTAAAAACAATTTGAGTTCAGAAGTGTTTAGCAAATTGGCCCTTTATTAAAATAAATCTATACAAGACATAAGTTTGAATTTTGAGAATATATAACCGGGAGTTGAAAAGGTCATTTTTAGTGGAATAAATAATTAATTGTTATTTTTTCAAGTGAAAGTTGAATTTTAATGAATTATTAAAATCTCGTTATAAATGTTTATCGATGATGATGGTGTAGGAATGATTGTAAATGAAAGATGATAATAATAATGAAAATACATGAGATGAAGGGAACTACTGTAATCAATATCTAAAACTTCAATGCAAAATAGTCTTTATATAGGCTTACACTAAATATAAAATAAGGACCTACTAACCCCCTTAATAATCCACTAAATCACTAACACCATGAACTAAATAAATGACCGACTAACATAATATAAACTACCCACTAATACATAATGAAATAAACTATACCCACTAATACAGTAGCTAACATTCCCTCCCTTGAATTCCAAACTTTCAAGTTTTAGTTTAGCCATTTTCGTCTTATCTTCCATAGTACACACGCCCATCAACTTCCTCATATTTTGGAAGGGAAACAACCTTAGAGGTTTTGTAAAGATGTCTGTGAGCTGCTCCTCGCTTCTCCAGAATTCCAGCTCAATTGTTCTATCACTGAAAAGATCTCTCAGAAAATAATACGTCACTTCGATGTGCTTGCGTCTTCCATGTAGAACGGGATTCTTCGGTAACTTGATGGCTGAACTGTTATCACATAAAACTGTGGTAGCTTCTCCTTGCTTACACTAAAGTACTTCAAGAGTTATTCTCAACCAAATAGCTTGACAGGCACAAGCTGTAGCAGCAACAAATTCAACTTCGGTACACGACAAAGTAATAATTGGCTGTTTTTTAGAAGACCATGAAACAACCCCTGTACCCAACATAAAAATATAACCCGAAGTGCTCTTCCTATCATCTTGATCTCCTACATAATCACTGTCAGTAAAAGCAAGCAAATTCGACTTTCTTCCTTTCTTGTAAAATAATCCAAACTCCTTGGTGCTTTGCAAGTAACGAAGAATTTCTTTAGCAGCTAACATATGCATCTTAGTTGGATTCTCCATGTATCTACCTATGAGGCTCACTGAGTACATAATATCCGGTCTTGTAACAGTTAAATATATTAAACTGCCAACAATTTTCTTGTGAAGTACTGTGCTCTCCACCTTCTTTCCTTCAAGATCTTTGTTTAGCTTCAAGCCAAAATCAATTGGAGTACTCACGTGATTGCAATCCTTCATTCGAAACCTATCCAGCATATCTCGCACATACTTCTTTTGAGATATAAAAACTCCACTATCACATTGCACTACTTCTATGCCAAGAAAATAATGCATCTTACCAAGATCAGACATTTCAAACTCATCCATCATAGATTTCTTGAATTCTTTAAACACGATATCACAATTTCCAGTAAATATGAGATCATCGACATACAAGCATACATTGAGCATTTCTCATTTTTCTCCAATTTTACAAATACAGTATGCTCGTAGGGGCATTTTTGAAAACCAGCCTTTAGAAAATAAGCCTCAATGCGACTATACCAAGCTCGTGGAGCTTGTTTAAGTCCATAAAGAGCCTTTTTTAATCGACATATTTAATGCTCATTATTAACCATAACATAACCAGGGGGTTGATCGACAAATACCTTATCCTTCAAGTTTCCGTGCAAGAATACCGATTTGACATCAAGCTGAAATATAGGCCAATAATTTTGGGCCGCTAATGCAATCACCATTCTGATCGTGTTATGCCTTGCAACTGGAGCAAACACCTCTCTGTAATCAACTCCATATTCTTGCTTGTATCCCTTAACAACCAATCGCACCTTATGCTTGTCAACCTCACCATTTTCTTTCAGCTTCGTCTTAAAAACCCATTTTACACCAATGGTTTTCTGCCCTTCTGGAAGACCAGTTAGCTCTCATTTACCATTCATTTCGATAGCTTCAATTTCAATTTCAGCATCCATTGTTTGCTATTTTGTTTCTTTGATGGCACTTTCAAAGGTTGTTGGATCACAATCTGCAAATAATGCAAAATGAGTAATTGCATCATCATCTGTATCAAATCACGTCACCTCACAATCTTCCATCCATGCAGGCCTTCTCCGAATTCGCCGACGTGAATCGGCGTTGGAACCACTAGCTTCTTCTGGCGAGATGTCAATAGCTACAGGAGTATCATTTCCTGAATTGTCGAGCATCGGAGATATTTCTTCAACATCATTATCACATAGAACTTTAGTAGGCGGCTTACTATCCCAATCCCAATTCATTT